CCAACCCTTTAACATAACAATATATCGGAATTATCAAAATATAAATCATAAACTCGAACAACATACCATAATCTGATCACAAGTTACGATTAGAGAAATCTCTACATTGTGTGTATGCGTATGTGTGTGTAGTAGATTGTGTATACGTGTCTGTGAATGCATATGCCTACTGTCTGCCGTTGTTACACAAATGTAGATGTCTATATTAGGTGTGTATGAGTGTGTATTTGTATGTATATACGTGTGTATTTCTCAATCAGACAGACACATCACCATATGACCACATCCGAAATTGAACAATGTAGAAACATATCGAACACCCTACACAAAACAAGTCCTATTCTTACTTGCAAATGCAGTGTAATCGAGGACCCGACGAACGCGAGCCGGAAGTCAAAAGGCGACGATGTGTGCGGGACCATCCGCCGCGCGAACGATCACCACCCATCAAGTGCGCGGCAGTCGCGGGCGGCGCGACCACGAACACAACACTTGTTGCCAGTAGTGAGTATCATCTACGCGCATTCAGGCCGCATAACTAGACTTTCTACTAAAACGCATGAGAACGTATACAAAAAAATCTTTCCATACAAATGCGGGGGAAAATATTCAGGGAGAACAAAAAATAAAAAATAAACAGGACAGTGTATTTTGGGTCTAATAATGGGAGAAACACGAGTATAATAGTTGGGACGACGAGTATTTGTAACAGGACGACGAGAACATTCGTGGGCCACACATAAAAATCATTATCTCGTAAATAATGGTGGGGATCGGGGGAAGGGTCGTTGATCAATAAAACTACTAAACAAGTGAGCATAAAGGGGAGCGGAAGAGCGCAGACCCCACGTGAAGCGATGAGGTTTAGAAAACTGGTGACGTTTGTAAAACAAACAAAACGTAAGGAAGACATCATCGGACCGGGACTAAACACATCATATAGTACGACATCTCTGAATAGTCAAGTATAAATTTGAGTAATATTTTCAGTTTCTACACATCTAAATGGCCTCTCTATGCCGAATCGAAGCTGACACGAAATACGTAATGAGTGATCCAACAGGCAGAGACAGAGAGAGAGGGAGAGAACGCGAGAGAAACAGAGAGATGTGCACGCGCGAGAAGTATAAAAAGTCGTGAACGACGACGACGAAGAACTTTCGACATTTCTGGAAAATGTTCGTCTTGTCGTCGACAACGAAATTGACGAAGTGACGTCGCCATTCCTTCTCATCGTTGCACACGTCCAAAATCACTACGGATACCGTATCAACAACTAGTAGATAGTAGAGTGTATGAGTAGTTATGTGAAGCAGCCAATACGAATATCATCAACGGGTTGGGATACATATATAATATATATTAGTAGTAGGTTACGACGACGGGATCAACGCGAAAAAGACGACGTATGAAGATGAACGAGATGAACGAAAGAACGTATGAATCGCGTGTTAGACGTCGTATGGATGTGTAGATGATTTGTAGTGCACCTCCTTGCATTTACGACATGGATCACAACGCTCGTGGTTTCGTATCAACGACCTTATCTTCAAGGAACAATTCAAAATGTACGAGACCAAGTCGTGACGTGATATCATGCTCAATATTCAGAGCATATGCACGACATTCGACCAGCACCAGCTTGTTACGTGGCAGCGATTCAAACTTCACCATTGCCTGAAACACACACATGTTTCTCATTCGATCCATTCATCGGAACATTATTTGAAAAAGACAAAAAAAAACTGAGGTGGAGGTGATGTAGTGGCAAGGCACACTTACCACGTGGGTGGGTCGGGGAGTCAATCGGAGATCGGCTCCCGCCCAGGCCGACCAGGCCGATACAATGACTCTACCCTCCACTCGCTAGAAGCCGTAAATTGGTACCAGATTCGTCTGGGAGGATAAGAATACTGACTTGTACATCGCCCTGTCATGGTATAGGCCACATCGCATTCAGTAAGCCACTATTGGTAAGACCCTGAATGGAGATAAAATGCGTGCCCATCCCAAGAAAGGACCGATAAACGGCTGAGGCTTTATCCTTTAACATAAAGAGCTGTCGAGGGTGCTAATAACCTTGAGGGCATTTGAAGGGCCTCTTGGTCAATACTGGGTTCCCGAAGTACAGCATCAACAAATCCATAGGGAATAGCTATCTATCTCCGAGCTATGCAAGTCCCTTAAATTTGACTTGGCAGAGGCTGCTGACAAAAGTTGATGCTCTTGGAAGCGTAGGGCTCCCCTCCTCCCCCCCCAATGAGTCATTTTCAAGTAGTTGCTCAAGCAACTCGCACTGCTCTTTCCCCCCTTCTCAGTGACAGTCCTTGTGATGACATCACTCACGCAGCGCCGCAGCACTGCTCCATCACATTGGTATAAGAAAATCACGGAACGTCTTGAGATCTGTATCTGTGGCCTGGAAGTGGGGGGTGGGGGGGGCACATTGTCTAGAGGCTACTCAAATTGGGTGATTTGAGTACAGCACTGTCCTTACCTAATCCTTACCTCCATTGCGAGCATTCAATCAGAGACATGGGGTCGCATTTGGTTCATAGGGCTCCAGTCTGCTCTTGACAGAAAATGTTCTGAGCCGTGAGAAAAAATTTTCGGTTGCTGACTTTTCGTGAAATTCTTTTTTTTTTCTCGTGTGTTAATATACCTCTCCCCATATTTGGCGACGCCGTCAAAGTCCTGTACAACTACTATTTTGTGGATGGATGAAACTGGTAGTTATTTGTTGCCTGCCATCGCCATTCCTCCCATCCCCATGCTGCACCCTGCTCGCAATGGAGGTAAGGATTTGGGTCTGA